ATGTCAATTGTTGAAGCATGCTGCAAGTTTGTACACCCCAAAAGTCCTTAAAATTTTCTAACATGAGTTGTGTAGAACCTATGATTGTGTCGGCATTATTAGTCGCACTTATGACACCTTTACAAAATATCAGGTCAATTATTTTGGAATTTCAACGACTCATGTTGTTACATACAACTCGTATGATGAGACCAGTTTTTGTAGTTGAAAGAAATTTGAATTTTTCGGGATATTATGCTCACATGGAGTAGAAGTTCTTACAAAGAATAATGTTATGAGGTATATAATGAAGAGGTGGACGAATATTGCGAAAACAGGAGATTCGCATGGTGGAATGGTTTTCGCTGAACAAGCAACCGATGACCCTAAGAAACAGTAAGCATCCGATATAAGGATTTGAGTATGTTCTTCAGCAAATTAGTTACAAGAGTTTCCGAGAGTAAGGAAACATACAAATTAATGAAAAATATTTTCAAAAACGCCAGTGAGAAGATGAATGAAGAGTTACAAAATAATAAAGTGGATTTCGAAATATTGCGTTGGGAGGATCCTGAATTGAATGCAAGCAAAGCGATGTCCCTGTTAAAGGGATAAAGAATAAAGTAAAAATTTGTTCGGGTAAAAGACCGAAAAATGGATTGGAACAGAACTTGAGAAGGAAGTAATAACATGCAATACGCAGAAATGAGGTGTTATTCGAGAGATCATTGCTACCCGGTTATTACTGTTTACATAAATTTTAATTTCGAAGGATTAATTTGATGATATTGTCTATTTTGTAGTCATTTGTGAACGAGATTTGCCTTCAACCACATGGAATTGTGTTACAGTCTAATCAAATCCCTCGACAACGGGTTCTTTTTTCAACTCCGAAATATTTGTTCAATATATCATTCCACAATTTGTATATAAACTTAACTTATTCAAATATATTGCTTTCATGCAGTAGATGATGCATGATACATTTATTCAGCCGCATAGCACTGTGTTACAATCATGTCAAATTCCTCTGCAGCAGCTAACTTTTGTGGTTTATATACGAATGTATTTAACTTATTCATAACTTATCTAAGAATATTATTTATTATGCAGTCAGTGATGAATAATATGTATCATCGGCCATATATCATTATGGTTCAACCAAGTCAAATTCTTTGGCAATAGGTAATTTTGTTTACAATTACTAAATATTTTTATAGAGGTGTGTTCCTATTTTTTTTTTACAAATTTAAATTTCACATTTGAAAATCTTATTTGAGGATATTCTTTGTTGTGCAGTCTTCTGAGGCTTATCATCGGCCGCGTAGCATTGTGTTGGAGCTTGATCAAACATCTCGGCAGGGTTTTTTTTTTCGATTCGAAAATTAATTTGCATATCATTGAATTACTGTCATTTTGTAATTTTATATTTTTTTAGATACCGGCACTAAATCCCCCGCCAATCATACCATCCACCGACCAAAATATCTTGACTTATTCTATAAATTTCACTTCTTTACTTGAGGTATTTCTCATTAAAAAAAAAAAAAAAAATTATTTGTTGTAATAGACTAGTTTATCGTATTTTCATTTATTTTTTAGTATTGTATGAATACAGATTTATAATGCTGGTACCGTTGCTCAAAGAATGAAGGAACACCTGGACAATTAAAACTGTTATTTTGCATTTGGTTGTGTTGACATGAAAAAATTTTCATTAGGTTATGGCACTTATTGTTGTTTATCAGTGTAGCTTCTATCAAGTCTGCCAGATGTTCTTAATTTTTAGTTTGCAATTTTATGATATTATTATAAAATCATGTTGTGCTTCAATAATTTTCTCGAACAGCACTTAAGAATTTGTTATGTTTCTTAGTAGTTTTATATTGTATAATTTTGCATGATGTATGGACTTAAACAAATTATTGCAAGACCACTCAATTTTTCTTGTATAATTTTTGCTTCAATATACCTGTGACCAAGGGCCTCCCCCACCCCTTTTTTATTTTTTATTTTTATTTTATAATGTATAATATAAAAAATAATAAAACAAATTAAAGAATTGCTAAAAAAATTATGAGTATTTATGTGAAAATTTAAATTTTGAATTTCAATTTTGAATTAAAAAAAATCTTCAAAAAATTCTCAACCAAATGCATAAGAGATGATATTTTTAAGAACTATTTTTTTAATAATTTTTTTTATTATTTATCAAAATTTTATATAATAAAAAATTAATTGTGTAATATATAGTTGTTACGGTAGGTTGATATTTTGCAAAATTTTTTAAAAACGATAACTCTATTAATAAAATTATTGAATAATAAGTAGATTATATTCGTCTCGAAATTTGAAAAATTAGCAACCCCCTCTCATCCCGATCTGGTTCCGCCCCTGCCTATGACTCTTGTTGCGACATGAATGCTCTGAAAATGTATTATTAAAGTGTCTATAGATTCTTATGATTTGCATTTCTTAAAAATGATCATGTTTTGGTATGACAGTCATATTGTGTCATGGTTGTTGAATACATTGGAAGACAGCTTCCCATAGAATGTAAAAAATACTTGTTGCTACCTGGAATGTCCATGGCATTTAACGAATAATTTTGTTAAAATAAGTATGGTGCATGAAATCTAACAAATAATCAAATAGATCAATTAAATTCACTATTACTTTAAATTAGATCAACTTTATTAAAAAAAAAAAAAAAAAAAAAAAAAGGCAAAATAGCATAAAATCCCATGTCGTTTGATTGATTTGCTGAAAACCCCCCATTGTCTAAAAATTCCATAAAATCTACTTGTAATTTTTAAAATGTTGCACGCTCGTCCCTTCCTTTTAATTTGCACTGACGCTGTTAAATTTTACACTGACCATTATGTCCATGCTTTAAGTTTAAATTAAATTTCAAAATTAAACTTTAATTCCAAATTAAATTTTCAAACCCAAATCCAAATCCAAATCCAAATCCACATCTCTCTATCTCTCTACCCTATCCCACTTTCTCTCTCCTTACCCCCTCTTACTCATCTTCTCCCTCTTCTCTCTTCTATCAACCCAAGCCCATCCACTGTGCGCACAAGCAGCCGTCACCACCACCCATCGGCGTCGTCTTTTTTTTCCTCCACCATTCGGCCGCCTCTCTCTCTCTTGTCCCAATTTCCTTTATTAATCCTATCCAAAATTTTCTATTTCATGAACATTTTTTGGATTTTCTATGAAATTAGTACAAATTCTCGGACTAAGTGATAGGAAAGGATTTGAGGCTATCAAATTCTGAAATTGATATGATTGTCTTTGAGTTTGATTGCCATTTTGTTCAAAGAATGATTTCTTGTTTGAACCAACAATTTTTGTTCAATAATATAAAATGTATTTGAATAAAAAAAAAAAAAAAAAAAAAAAAGAGAAGGACAAGAACAAGAAGAAGATTGGTGAACGATGATGTGTGGCAGTCGTCGGTGACGGACGGTGGAAGAGGATTAGATTATTAATATTATTATTTAATTAGGTTTTTTTTAATGTAGGTAAAATGATCAAAATAGTCCTCTTCCTTAATTAATATATTTTGAGATGCCTCTCCAGGAGTATTTTTGTAATTTTACATAATTATATATCAAATTTTGTATAAAAATCTTAGTTTAAGCTCGTGAGACGCACTTTTCGTTAAGTCCTAACGAAAAGGGGGTTTTCGCAACGTTTTAAAAATTACAAATATATTTTATGAAATTTTTAAATCGAGGAATTTTATGCTATTTTGCTAAAAAAATAAATAAAAGTAATAGAGCTACGAGAGGCACACTCAAACTAATAGAAAGTAGAGCCATAATCATATATTGTGCTACTAAAACATCCAAACAGCCCCCAATTTATCAAGATTCATAAAGAAAATTCATAGCTTCAATACATATAATATTTTTGCTAGCATATATTACAGACAATTCATAGAGTTTGAAATAGATAAATCTATCATATATTAAGTTATTATCTTTCACAGTCAAACTGTATATTAAAAAAAAACAAACACAATAATACCATGACATCAAGCGACATAACGAAAGCTTCACCGCAACAACTAACAAAATATATAAATCACAACAGTGAAAACAAACAAGATGAAAGCTCTTTCAAAATTTTTAATTTTGTTCTCCATCTTCTTCATTTTCTTTTGCATTATTTTTATTTTTTCCTCTCCTTGTCAAATTCATTTCGTAGTTTTAGTAATTCAAACATCTTTCCATTGTCATCTTCTTCTGGAATTCTGTTCACTTCGTGAAATCAATCTTCGAACGGGAGTGCCGCAAGAACAAACTTTAGCTAAATTGAATGATCTAATAGATGAAGACACCGTGCTTTCTTTTCGAATATATAAATAGAATATTACCATAACAAAAATATATATAATTATAAAAATCAAACAATATTGTTATGCCAATATATAAGGTTCGGGATAAGGCAGATCAAGAATTCGGCCGACCTTCTGCTGACCGAAACTAGAGATGCTGCGAAAGAACTCGGCACGGGTATTCATATGGTAAATTCATGGTTTGCCGTTGCGGAACGTTATCGCAGATCGGTTTTTAGCGTTCCAGATACGTCTCGGCATATCGGCGCAACGTATCGGTCAATATAATTTTTTTATATAATTTTTATTTAAAAAATAATAAATTATTAAAATATATCAGATCATATATAATTAATTTTAAAAATATATATAATTTAAAATCTTGTCTAAAAATTATTTTAAATAATATATTGAAAATTAGTTATAAATTATTCTAAAATATTAATTTTAATAAAAACCCAATTTGTATAAATTAAATAAAAACCAAATATAATTCAAAACAATTAACTCTATCCATTAAATAAATTAAATAATTAAAATAAGCTAATACAAAGTCCTATCCACAAATTAAATAAATGAATTAATTTTATACTATATTTAAAAAAAATTAAATTAATTGATATTAAGTAATTATTTAAGTATTTTCTAAATTTCTTCGAATCAATTTTTCCATACCGGCACTTCTTCTTCCCCAACCCTACACGAATCTTCTTACCCAACCCACCCTGTACGATCTTCTTCCCAACTCTTTTTTCTTTTCAACCCTCTTTATTCACACGACACAGACACTTCCCAAGTTCCAAAGATGAAATTGAATGAATCGAAGCAGAAATAACTACAAACATGCCTCAGAATGCTAGAAATTAAAATTTGAGTGATTTCAGAAAAAATTCCAGGACCGTTCCGGTTCCGGATCGGCCAATCCAGCGAACCATACATTACTGTTCATTCTATGTCGAAATTTGTATACGGTTGAAATTTACTCAGTTGTTGAAATCTTTCGACGCAAAGCATGTTTCTGAGATTCCTTACGAAAACCCAGTTGTGGTGGATAGGCAAGGAGTCGATCATGGAACCGTGACATATCTCGAGAAATTGAGCTGCTGCAAAGCAACTTACTGGCGGCTCTGCCTGCAGAAACCGTTCTTGAAATGGTAACTATAAATGGAGCAAAAACCGCGCTCTAGGACAACGAAATAGGATCAGTCGAGGCGGGCAAAAAGGTGCTTTTTTGTGTCGTTTTTTTCCCTGATGAATTGCTGTATTACGACTCATTCGTATTGCCTTCAGGCTGACATGATCGTGATCGATTCTTCTTTGTGGACGATGGTTCCTGTTCATGATTGGTAAGCGAATCAAGATTAACAATTCTCAACGTACTCGAGAAGGGTTCGAGCTGGGCTGATCTGATCTATCTCTACGTTTCTGTTTCGACGCAGCATCTCCAGCCTTGTTTACTGTATGAGAAGTGAAAACATAGCCTCCATAATGTGCAACGGCCGTTGGATCATGATCGACAAGAAGATCACGACCGTCGACGAGGTATGTATGTATGTATATGTATGCATCTGTGTGTGTAGAAAGTCCTGAGGTAAAATGGATGATGGGTTTGTGATTGTGATTGTGATTGATAGGAAGAAATTGTGGGGATGGCGAGGAAGGCTTCAGGTCATCTTTTGAAGAGAGCTGCAATTCAAATTCCTACCAAGATGAATTTTTTATAGCTTCTTCTTCTATATCATTTTATAAATTGATATTCCCGTGGAATTTCGCAGCGGTTGCTCGAACGAGTGTGTATAGTAAAATAAAATAAAATAATATTTGTGTGGGTTGTGACTGGCAAATCTGAGTGTGCTTGTTTTGGAAGTTTGAATTTTGTGTTTGTGATTTAAATTGGAATATTTTTGAATTTGTATAACTACGATGATATGATATAATAAATATTTATGTAATGTTTCGTAGAAGATGGAGATAGTATATACTTTTATTTATTTATGGATAAATTATTGAATATCATGCTTTAAATGCTAAATTTTGTAAAAATGAAAATAATATACATTAAGTAATAAGAAATTTTGGTTAAAACATAAGTGTCTTTGGTTGGTTAAGAGAATAACTTGTAGAGAAATGAAAAAATATTTTATTTGTTTGGTAAAATAAAAAATTCATGTGAAAAATGTAAAAAAATTACAAAGATTTAGATAAATTAATCAATAGAAAATGATGAATCCGGAAAAAGAATATTTTAGTGAGTAATAATTTATTTGTTTGAATAATAAATTAGATACAATGTAAAATTGAATTAATAAATAATAAAATTATTCAAAATAATTTATTAACTAAACTATTCAAATATATTTTAAATTTTCACATATATTTATTTGTTAATATATTGCAAACTTATTTATTTTAAATTATACTATATTTAGACGATGAATTGGTCTAGAGCACTGATATATTTGTATTTTTTTAATTAAATTTTTAACTTAAATAAAGAAATATTCAGAGGATAAATTTGACTAGAGTACAGTATATTTTTATTTTCTTGATTACCGTGTATTTGTATTTTTTAAATATTTTTTTATTTTATATAATTTTTTATATATATAAATTATACTTCAATTTTAATTCATTTTACATTATAATCCAAACATATATAATTTGTATTTTAGTTTTATTTGCTAAATAATTTTATTACATATGAGTATTATTTTCAAGTTTAAATAAATTTAAATTTAAATACAAACATATTTATTATTTTTTAATAATTTACATACATGTTATATAATCTTTTGTGGAAAATATATAAAATAATTATTTCAAAATATAATATTGTACATACCTTTTTACAAAGTAAAATTACATGTTAGTTTAAAAATAAAATAAAATAAAATAAAATAAAATTATATATCACTTCTAAAAAAATAAAATTATACAATACATTTAAAATAAATAAAAAAAAATTACAAAACATCAAAAAATATACAAAAACTCCACTCCAAAATTTGGGGATGGATTGAGCCCCTCCCCCAATTTTTGCAAATTGCCCAAAATAAAAAAAAAAAAATATTTAAAAGTGAAATCCAATAAGATATGTTGTTGATTTCTTGAATCTTTCAAATCTATATAAGGACATATTACTATATTATAGCCTTAATATACCCTCAACTAACGGTAATTGTTTTGGATTTCTTAAATCTTTCAAATCTATACAAGGAAATATTACCATATTATGGCCTATATATACAACCTCAACCTCAACCTCAACGTACGTTAATCTTCATTCATTCTTATTTCGCGAAGAAAGATTCAGACAAACTCTTCATCTCCAATTTCCATGGCGCACTTCTACTCTCCTACTTTCGAAGCTTACTCCTTCCTTCTTCGACACCGCAGTTCCCTCATCAATCCGCCTAACAATTACTTCTCCCGCCGCCCGTCGCCCGCCGCCGCCTGCTGTAATTGGATTGAAGACATGGTTCGCCGGATCGGCCGAGTCCGGTCCGACTTCCGGTTCGTAAAAAATATCCGATATTTGCCCAAAATTTTCCCATCCATTCATATCTTATCTATAAAACCCATTATAAATCTTATTCTTACCGATTTTCTACTTTTTATTCATATTATTCGAACAATTCATCTCAATTCGATCAGATCGGAGAAGAAAACATTTACCAGTGGGCTGAAGAAGAATCGTGGAGGAAAGACCTCTATTCTGCGTTCGCGTCTGAAGAAGAATTGTGGGGGAGGGGAAGAAGAAGTGGGAGGATTCTGCGTTCGCGTCGGTGAAGAAAATCGTGGGTTGATATCCTCCACCATCGCTACCCATGCGGTGTCGTACGGAGAGACGGTTATTTCTCCGTCGCCCATGGACTGCAGCATCGACTGAATCAATTGCACCTGCTTCCGAATCTTATCTGAGTCCTGAATTGAAAGAGTGATTTTGAGGGAGGGGAAGTGTCTGAACGAAATCGTGGGGGGAGGGGGAAATCGTGGGGGAGGGGAAATCGTGAGGAGGGGGAAATCGTGGGGGAGGGGAAATCGTGAGGAAGGTAAATTAATTATTATATTATTTTAATTAATTTAAATATTTATAAATTTGAATTATTTTTTATTAATTTATTTATTTAATTTATAGGTTTAATTATTTTAGATTTAATTATTTAGAATAATTTGTTTAATTTATTGATAAATTTAGTTTAATTGTGTTGGATTGTATTTAATTTTTATTTAATCTATATAAATTGAGTTCATTAAAATTAATATTTTAGAATAACTTATAATCTTATTATTTAAAATTAATATTATTTTAGACAAAATTTGTATTAATTGTAAATTTATTGTAAAAAATTAATATTTTAACTATATTTTTTATATAAACAAATTAGTTATCTACTTAAATTTTTGTATAAGTTTGATTTATTAATAAACTAATATATAATTTGTCTATTCAATTAATGAATTACTATTTATAAATATTTTAACAATTGTATTATTCAATTACAGAGTTTGTGTAAAATGGCACCGCACAGAGATATTGGTTGGGATCATGCTACTCCTATCAGCAATGATAGAAAACAAGCAAAATGCAATTATTGTGGTAAAATTGTTCACGGCGGAATTACTAGGATGAAACAACATATAGCACATGTTACAGGTCAAGTTGAAGCATGCACGAGAGCTCCAAAAGAAATAAGAGAGTTATTAAAAAAACACTTGATCCAAGGAAAAAGTATGCGAGCAGCACATAAAAAAAAGTTAGAAGCATTGCAAAATTCCATTCGTTTGGAAGATGATTCTGATGAGGAAGAAGATGAAGTTTTTGAAATAAATGAAGATGAGATAGATGCTCTTGAAAGAAAACACTTAAAAAGAGCAATGGCTGAAAGCAGAAATATGGAATTTATGGAGCAGCAGCGTAGACATTCTGTTTCCGGAGATCTACCAAGCTTGAATTTTAAAGCCGGTATATTTATTAAATTTATAAAATATATTTAAATATTAGTATATTTTTTTGAGATAACAACCATATATGATCATATGCTTTTTTTTTTTTTTTTATCTTTGTAGGAGGAAGCAGCTCGAATACAAAAGGAAGTAAAAGAAATTTTTTCGAAAGCTCTATGAAAAAGACAGAAGGTTTGCATCAAAAAAAACTTGATCCATACATGTTTCAATCGAAGAATAAGTCTTTGAAAAATATGTTTTCAAAAGATAATGCAAAAAAAGTGGGTAGAGCAATTTCGAAATTTTTTCATTTTAATGCAATACCATTTCACGCTGCCGATAGTGGTCCTTACTACCAAACGATGATTGACACGATTGCATCGGTTGGACCTGGAGTTAAAGGACCTACTGGTAAACAAATTGGTGGTGAATATTTAAACGAGGAGATGCAAGAAGTTGTACAGTATATTGATTCTTTAAAGCAGAAATGGAAAACATACGGATGTACAATTATGTGTGATGGTTGGAGTACTCGTACAAAACATCCAATCATAAATTTTATGGTGTACTGTGATAGAGATATGATATATCACAGTTCGGTTGATTGTACAAATAAGGCGAAGACTGCGGACTTTGTCTACACCCTAATGGATAAGGTGGTGGAATCAGTAGGGGTTGACAATATTGTACAAATTGTAACTGATAGTGAAGCTAGTATGAAGGCGGCTGGGAAAAAACTGATGAGGAAAAGGAAGCACATTTTTTGGTCTCCATGCGCAGCGCATTGCATTGATTTGATGTTAGAAGACATCGGAGATATATTGTCAGTGAAAGATACGATAAAAGAAGCCAGAAGAATTACAGGATTTATATACAACAGTGATAAAGTGGTTAATTTGATGAAAACATATACGAATGGCCGAGATCTGTTGCGACCAGGCATAACAAGATTTGCAACCGAGTTTGTTGCAATGGAAAGTCTTCTGAGATATGCAACCGATTTGAAAAGAATGTGTACTTCTAGAGAATGGGTTGAGTACAATAATACCTCGAGGAGAAGACATGAAGCCGGAGATATATCAGACTTGATTTTGAATGAAAGATTTTGGAAACGGATACGCCGAGTCTGTGGGGTCATGGAACCCTTAGTGAAGGTTTTAAAAGTAGTTGATCAAGATAAAAAACCTACACTACCTATCATTTATGAGGCAATGGATAGGGCAAAAATGGCAATAAAAACCGCGGTGAAAGATTTTCAACAATATTGGGATATCATCGATGAAAGATGGTATAATCAATTGCATCAAGATTTGCATGCAGCAGGTAACTATTCTTGTTATTTTTTTGTTTTTATATTGTGCTAATCGTTTGTTTTATTTTTTAATTTTATATACATTTCATGCAGCTTATTTTTTAAATCCTGGTCTTCAATACTCCGGCACTTGTGAATTTGATTCATCGGAGGTTCGAAAAGGAGTAAAAGAAGTTATCAAAAGACTCGAGCCAGATTTGGATATACAAGTAAAGGCTATGAATGAGGTAAATTATGTGAAATTTATAAATAATATATAAATATATATATTAATTTCTAATAATTTTACTATTATATTGTCTATAGATAAACATATTTGTTAACAAAATTGGAGAGTTTGGAAGTGCACTTGCTATTAGAGCTGTATCTACATCTTTACCAGGTATGTATTATGAAATTTATCATTTAATTATATTTTTAAATATACTTGTTATAAAATGTTGCATTATTAATAATTTTTTATTTATTTTTAATAGCTGACTGGTGGAATATGTACGGTGATGAAGCTCCTAATTTAAGAAAAATTGCATTAAAAGTTTTGAGTCAAACTTGCACATCATCGGGTTGTGAGCGGAATTGGAGTACGTGGGCTTTGATCCATACTAAACTTCGGAATAGATTAGCTATTGAGAAACTGCATAAGCTAGTCTATGTCCACTACAACATGCGTCTTCGGGTAAAAAATTTTATGCAAAGGACAGACACAGACGATTTTTATGACCCAATTGATTTGAATCATATTTTTGATGAAAATGATATTTTAGATGAATGGGTTAGAGAAAATGAATCTCCACTTATTCGTGATAGTGATTTGAATTGGTTGGATGAGGCTATTGAAGAAAGTGGAGATCGAGGTCAAAGTGAGCATAATGATCATGACAGTGATATGCTTTTATCTCAATTTATAGCTGATGGAAAAAAGAAGGCGAAAGAGAAAAAATCAGAAAACAAAAATACGGCCAAGAAAAAAAAAGCAATCATATTGGAATCTTCATCTTCATCGACTAATGGTGAAGATAAGAATAATAACAATGATGATGATGATGATGATGATGATGATGATGGTGGTGGTGGTGGTGGTGGTGGTGGTGGTGGTAGTGGGAGCTACAGGGATAGCCGATACTCAAGTGATATGGGATGGGCTCAAGGAAATGAAAATTATTATGCTACCCAAGACACTGATCATGGATATCGTCCTGGTATAGAAGCTCAAAGAGATTTTCTAAATAGTTTAACAGAATTTTCAAGTGAAGCCGATGCTTCAAATTTTTCAGATACTAGGAGATATTCTGGAGTTCACGAACATATGCAAGACTTGAATATAGGTTATTCCTATGGAGATTCTTCTCATAGCTCGAGTAATAGATTGGGGAGACAGGAGTGGGACCAACCAAATGCATATCATAATCCCTATTACTCAGGATACGGTTTATCTAATCTACCCAGACATCTTCAGGATTCAGCCAATCTTCCTATATTTGGATCCAACCAACCAGTTGGAACATATTACGGAGGGATTACATCTGGTTCGGGTAGTATTGATGATCGTAGACAAAATTATGGTTCATCAAGCAGAAGCAATGATAATAGAGAATATCGAGGTTTTGATGTATATGGAAGGGGTTCATTCAGAGAAAATCAATATGGTTCGAACATCTCTCCTTATCCAAGCAATATGAATCCAGATGAAAATGATTTTGAACCTCCACGACATTCCACATGGTATTGAATGGTAAGTATAAATATTTAGTATAAACGTAGTTTGAACATTTTATAAAATTTTATTTGTATTTTTTTTCTAATTATTTTTATTTATATAATGCAGATGATAAAGATGAAATCTTGACATTGACGGACACAAGGTACATCATTTTGTTATTAAAATAAATTTATTAGTATAATGACAATATGCAAAACATAAAATTTAGCATTTACATTTATATATATATCCGCTAATTTAGTTGAAATATTATTCATTTTAAATTTTGATCTATTATAAATTATAATATATTTTTTCAATAATATATATTTTTAAATTAATTATATTTATAATTTGATGTATTTTAATTAATTATTTATTATTTTTTTGAAAAAATATAAATTTTATATAAAAAAATCATATAGGCCGATATTTGACCGATACACCGCGACCGATACGCCGCGACGTATCTGGAACGGTAAAGGCCGATCCGCGACGCCGATCCGCGACGGCGAACCATGATTGAAGACGAAACTGTGATCCTCGATGCCGACGACGATGTCCGGTACCAGAGAAGCCGTATGAGGTTCGACCGGATTAGGGTTCTAGAGGATGAAACCGCCGTCCTTGTGGCGGCGCCGCCGCCCATTGGCTCGTACGGACAGGTTAGTTTTCGAGAATTCGAGGATACTGTTTTCTTTGAAGAAGACGGCGGCGATTTTGGGTTGAGGAAAGAGACGATTTTGAGACGCCTGAAAACGAGAAATTGCGTGGGCGGAGATGACGAGAATAACTGCGCAGTCTGTCAGGATAATTTGCGCGGGAAGGATTGTTGTGGTATGGTGGGAGTGCTTCCTTGCAGACATGAGTTTCACGTTGGGTGTATTGTGGAATGGCTGCAACGGAAGAATACTTGCCCGCTCTGCAACGCCACTGCCGTCATCGTCGCCGGAGAAGAAGGGCACGGCCGGGGGCAGAATAGTCTTTATCATTAGGTTCGGTGTGTTCTGTTTTCGGCTGTGTATGCAATGACAAAAACAATTGAACGAATGAATCAACGGTGGATATAAATTGGATTTGTTCATATCAGATTCTAATGTGATATAGTAATTATTTATAAATACATACACATATTAAAACAATATATATATACTTCATTTTATATCAAAATAATTAATCAGTTTTCCTAGTAACACCATACTTAAAATAATAATAATAATTAATTAATTAATAATAATGAATTATAATTTTATTTCTTTATATAATTAATTACATTTGTAATTTTAAAATAAATTTAATGTATATATTAAAAAAACTAGAATATATAATTTAAATATTTTAAAAATTATATCATAACAAAAATATATATTCAATAAGAATAAAATTTCATATACTACAAGTAAATATAAAAAAAAAACACATTTCTTTATATATAATTAAGATAAAATAATTTTATAAAAGAAATGAAATTTTAATACAAAAATAAACAATTTTTGAATGAGTACGGAAGTACATTTTATCAGTTTAAAAAATCAACAAGTATTATTTTTACTAATGTTTTCAAATATATTTTTATATTGTTTATAAAATAAAATTAGCAATCAAAATTTATATTTTATTTAAAATACTAAACAAAAATAATAGTTGTCAAATGAAACTCAAAGCAGCAAGGATAAGCCAATGCCTAAATCACCGAGTGGGCTGCAACTATTCAAAAGAGCCCAAAAAAAACAAGAGGCCCAAAACATGAAGGAAGACTCAATCAAAGTGGTTGGAATCATGTTTACGTGGGTGTGGGTGTGTGGGTGGGGACACAAGTCGGATAAAGTGGAAACGCGGGTTTTTTATTTTTACACATTGTGGCTGCTTTTTTTTTTCCCAAGTGGAGGTTTCCACAAGTATAAATAGGGGATATATTGGACTGCAATTTTATTAGAATCAATTTTCATTTTGCTTAATTCACATACATATATACATAGATATTATTATTATTATATATATATATATTATATTAGTGTTGATGTATTTTTTCAACAATAAAACGTAAAATTCGAAAATAGAGAAATATCTTCGAATTTGATAGATGAGTGCACGAGATTAGGGATCTCTAAACACTGTAGAATACATAAAATAAAATAGGAAAAATAAAATAAAAGATTGGAAAATAAAGTAGTGATCCCCAAAAGCAATTCTCTTGAATTTTTATCGATTGAAGATGTCTTTTTTCGAACAGCACCAGATCCTTAAATAACCATGTTGAAGAAACGGTTTGAACCGCTATCTGGTCGGTTACCATAACCGCTGGTAACCGCCCCAAAAGTTCTCTTCTATTGACACGTGTGTCAACCGTCCTTCCACATCCGACCTTCAAAAACCGTTCGCCAGTTGCAACTTCCTCCAACCGTTCGCCAGTTGCAACTTCCTCCAACCACCGAACAACCGACCGGCTCTATTTGCCTTACCTCCTTAAATGGACAGACTGTCCTCTTGACAAACCTCCGCGTCTGTCCATACTTCTTCTTTGCCCGACCTTCGTCTTGACAGACCTCCGCGTCCGCCGATACTTCTGCTTTGCCCGACCTTATCACACGCTTAAGCCCTGTGCCCGACCTTGTCTTGTCCGACCTCCGTATTGGCCGATCCTCCTTCCTTGTCCGACTTCTTTTTTTCCGACTTCTGGGTCGTTTGGCTTATATCCATACCAATCCAGAATCCTACTGTCATTATTTATTATTATTATTATTATTATTATTATTTGTGCTCAACAATTACAAATACATTAAATATATATACTTTATATTATATAATATATATTATATACAATATATAAAATAGTGGTTAACGGTAAAAGTAATTAATATTTTTATTGGTTAATTCTATAATAATATCACAACAATATATACTATTTTTTTTATTTAAAATATCACGTTCTAAACATTATTTACATCACACAATGGCATAGAAAGCTATCTGCAAATCGAGAGGCATCTTGTCTTTGTTGAATATGAATCAGCATTTCAATTTTCTAGACTAAATAATTAAAATTGAGCCTGATTTAAAAAAAAAAAAAAAAAAAAAAGAGAAGAAAAAGAAGGAAAAAACCATAATAATAATGAAATAAAAATAGAGAGGGACTTCAAATTCATATATGACAAAGGTAGAGGGAGCACCTTATAATTAGGGCATGAAACCCTCTTGCCCTCTTGTCAGAATGTCCACTGAGTTACATTCCTGCATAAATGATACATTTTCATACAATTCATATATAGATAAAGGAAAATTAAGTTCATATTCAAGTATCTCGCTTTATCTACCAATAACGTTAATGTATATTAAATATAACACACGTAAAACACATAGATCTTAACAAATGTTTATATTGAACACACGTCAATCTATCACGTAGGACACACAGTTACTAAAATACTAAGAGAGCACTAAACTAATTGTTGATGTAATTTTTCAACAAAAAAAAGTAAAATTCAAAGATATGGAAAATATCCTTAAACTTGATTAATTAGTGCCTGAGATTAGGAATCTCTAAACACTGTATGGTACAGAAAATAAACTGGAAAATAAAAGACTGAAATTTAAAGTGGTGATCCCCAAATCTGACTTTGCTTTGTTGAAGTTGATTGAAGATGCCTTGCCAAATGATGATTCAAACCTTTAAATATTCTCTGGGAAACCTTCCGACTTGAGGTCTTTCCGTCTTGAGGACCTACCAACCTAAGGTCCTTCCGTCCTGATGACTTTCCGTCTTGAGGACCTCCCGACCTGAAGACCTTCCGACTTGAGGTCTTTCCGTCTTGAGGACCAACCGACCTGAGATCCTTCCGACCTGAGGACCAACCGACCTGAAATCCTTCCGACCTGAGGACTTTCCTTAGAAATAAACCTATTTTTCCTTGATTTCCTCACGGTGTCCTTCAGCCAGTTCAATCAACTCTATTTCCAGGTCCATTCTTCTTTTTTCCTTGGGCTTTTAACCTAATTCTAAATTTCGTACGTAACAACTTGCCCGCCGCCAAGGGACTTTCAAACGCCATTTAACAATCAATGTTTGGAAGTTCATACATCACTACCCTCTTGAAAAATTCCCTTAGCAACTGCACCAGTTACTGCAACACTCCTGATTAACTTCCTTCCCTGCAATACGAGCTTTTGTGAATCACAATCCCAAAACACTCTAACCATGGCAAATCAATACATTCCTGCCCTTCCTTTCGACGGAACCCTCCCAGAGGGCCCATTTTCAGCCTCGAAAGTACTAACTCCGACGATCCGCCCATATTGCACTACTCCTGAAGACTCAAATCGAATGAGGGAAGTTTTGGAATCCCGAAATTCCCTGGCTATCAACAATCCTAACTACCAAGCAGTTCGCATTCGAGATAGCATCAAAACCCATCTCACAGACCCAAAAGACCCTTACCGCGCTTGGTATCGACGGGTAGCGGAACACTTCCAGGCCCAATGGCGATCTCAAAAAATCGACCAAGCAATACTATTGTCCACCATGCCTATCAACCTGCATGAGAAGGTGCTGTTGGCCATGTCTGCCTTCTGGAATGCGGAAAATGGGACTTTCCTCCTACCCTCTGGCCCCTTTGGTCCAACTCTTATGGATGTGGCAATGATCGCGCATCTCCCAGTCGTGGGTGAAGACCCTGTGATGGGAGCCCTAGATGGGCAGGAGCCATCAGAAGACCATCCAGGGTGGTCCTTACAAGGTGTGAAGGAATGGGGTTGGACAAAGTTCGCAACCGACCAACAAGGGGCTCCAGGGACCCCTGTGACCGACCGGGAGCATACTGCCTTTATCCTTTTTTGGCTTTGTAGGTACATCATTATTTCCCCTTCCAAATGTGTTCTTCCTTCTCATCTCGACCTGGCCATTCATATCGCGTCATCCGCCTGATGGAAAAAATCATCGAGGGATATGAACCTCTTCGTGACATCCTTAGCCGCATTCCTGATCTTCATCATCACATGGAAATGATCGAAAATCACGCAGCAACCATACTCCCAGATCTTGGTTGGGATAACATCTTTTCCAACCAACGAAAAGTCTTTTCAAGATTGCGTACCATTGTTGACCGTGAACATCAAGCCCTAACAGACATGCAAGCACGTACCCATCAAGATCTAGACGACATGCAAAGCCAATGGGAAAGGTACCGACCAGATTTGGAAGATCTTATTGAAGAAGAACCAGAACTAATATCCACTCACTGGGATGAAAAGTCTGATTCAGAGGCAGAAAATTTTTCACAAATACATGATGACTAACAGAAATGAACCTTTAAATAGGTTCGAACCCGAACCCCATAAATGGGTTCTGAAAATAATATTTTGTTTCAGGCAGTTTTGGTATCTGAAAAGGCAGGATAATACCTCTTCAGATATTTAGCATTAATACAATCATGTACTCTTCTACCTTCATGATTTACAATAATGAAAGCACCATTCCCAATATCTTTTTGAACAATGTATGGTCCTTCCCAATTCGGTGACCACTTTCCCAATTGGTCAGTTTTCTTATATGTAGGAAGGATGGTCTTCCAAACTAGATCTCCTTTTTGAAATGTCCTGTGAAGAACTTTCTTTCCGTAAGTCCTTGCTCTGATTTCACTCTGTTTCACACTTCGACCTATTGCATGAAGTCGGTTAACATCCAAATCCTCCAACTGTTGCAGCATAAGTTGTTGGTATTCTTTTGTAAGATCACTATCAGTAAACTCTGTTCGGCCAGATGATACTCGAATTTCGACTGGTAAAACAGCATCTTGGCCAAACGTGAGTTGGTAAGGTGAGAACCCTGTGGCCGTATTTCTGGTGTTCCTATGCGCCCATAAAGCCTGAGACAATAACAAATGCCACTTTCTTGGGTTTCCTTCAACCATCTTCTTTATAATCCCAATAATAATCTTATTTGCTGCTTCCGCTTGTCCATTGGCTTGGGGATAATAAGGTGACGAATGGTGTAATCGAACACCAAATTCTGCTAAGAAATTAGAGAACTTTTCCCCTGTGAAAACCAGGCCTTGGTCG